ATAAACCGAAACTCGGTTCAAAATTTATTTATTTAATTTATTAATGCTTAACGCTTAACGCCAATCGGCTTTGTACTAATGTAATAATTTAACACATTAAACATTCTAGGATAATTACATTACAAGAACAATTAAACAATTCAATGACGCAATTCAATGTAAAAAGACTAGTATAACAAGCGCACTATCGTATAGCTGTGTATGATGTTTCAAGTAAGAAGTAGTTGATCCTTCACGTTTTTCATAAACAGCGCATGAGTTCCTCCGAAGAAATTTAAAGTAGAGCAATGTTCATTTACAAGTCTTGCGATTCTATTGTTAGGCCCGTGCAAAATATGTAGTTCTTTGTCGTCCTTGTTGTTTCGTGTTGGCGGTTGATTCTGAGGCCCACTTTGGGGCAGATGAACCCAAATTGCTCAAGAATTTCAGGTGAACAAATGTGACCATTGATTACTTTGTAGAAGAAGGACAGGTCGGCAACTTGCCTTCTGCTCATGAGGCTACTGATTCCGAAATGTTTGTAGACTTCATTGGTGTTCATGGTTACACCCGAAGAGCTTAAAAAGTATGACAAATACTTGCAGAATTTGTGCTGAGGAGCTTCCAGTCTATTGACAAGCTGGTCTGTGAACGGTGACCAAACTATAGAGCAGTACTCAATGATTGGTTTTACCAGTGCATTAAACAGTCGGATGAGAGTGTACGGATTTCGGAAATCCTTGCCAGATCTGAGAATAAACCCTAACGTTTTGTGTGCTCGTAATGCTATGTTTTTTATGTGGCTGGCGAAACTTAGTTCACTGTCAACGATTACACCAAGGTCCTTAATGGTTGTGACCACCTGTAATTGTTGACCGTTCAACCAGTATACAGGTGTATGCGGTTCACGCGAACGGGAGTAGGACATAACAGCGCATTTTCTCGTGTTTAAATAGAGTTTATTCGTTGTACACCAGTCGTGGATCTTATCAATATCATGCTGCAGCATATCAACGTCTTCATCACTGGTTATCTTTCTATATATCTTTAAATCATCTGCATAGAGCAGATATTCAGACTTAAGTTCATTACCAATGTCATTTATGAAGATATTAAACAGAATTGGTCCCAGATGTGATCCTTGCGGAACTCCAGAAGTAGAACCAAAACTACTAGAAATATAGTCATTGACTCTGACTTGCAGATATCTTTCACACAGGTAAGATCGAAACCATTTTAAAGCATTCCCTTTTACTCCATACAGAACAAGTTTATCAAGTAGTATGTTGTGGTCCACCATGTCGAAAGCTTTACTGAAGTCTGTGTATATTGCGTGCACATCTTTATTGCCATTCATTTTATCCAAAATATAGGTGACGTATTGATATAGATTGGTGGATGTCGACCTACCACATGTAAATCCGTGTTGCCTGTTAGTTATGATATAATGAACTAAGTTACAGGCTTATAAGTGCGCAAAAGTACGAAACCCCAGTTTTTTTTAATGGTAAATCAAGATTTTGGGGGTGTTTGACAAATTTCATATTTCGATTCTGATTTTACTCGAAAAGACCTATTTACCAGAAAATATACATAACTTCCCAGGTATTTCTACTTTACGCTTTTTGTAGCACTGTGTAATCACTTCACTTTTCCTCCCAAGTCACTCCGAAACACTTCACTCTTAGTATGTTTTCACTACGCTCGAAAATTAGAAAACGGCAACACTGGTATGTACCCTTGTGGTCAGCTTATCAACACCCTTATTCTAGAACCCGAATTTTCGTAATTCGTTATTTGGAGCTACGTTACGAAAAACAAAAAATCTACATGCTGCAACCCTTGCGGAAAAATATGCAGCATGTTATCAGTTGGTTTTTGAAGTCAGCTGTAGGAAGAAAAATTGGTTTCTTTTACATATTCTAGTACGCGCTATGGCAATGGACTCTCAAAGATATGCGGAGTAACCATGGATGCATCTATGTCAGCTTCTAGTTGAATTGTTGAGCCACAAGCTATACCTCCTATGCCTGAAGAACTGGTTCTCAATCCAGTAGCTCGTTTCTGTAACTCTTCTCTGCCGATTATTTCACTACTGGTAGAGAATATACGTCATTCTCTACTACTCATTGGAAGTACAGAACAGAGCGGCGAATTCATATCTCAATTCGCCTCGGTAGAGAATTATTACAGAAACGAGCTACAGTTAATGCAATAACAGCTTCTTCCAAGCCATTGAAAATATGTATTTTGTTAGGTCCACCACCTGGTTACGCTTGCTTCTGCCTTCGACCGCGCTTAGGGATTATAAGTCTTATTAATGAGAATTATCTTTTTGTGTTGCCGTAGAAGAGGGCAGAAGCCAAATTTGGAGCCTATTTTTAATTAAAGGTTAATCCTTTGGCTACACGTGGATGTTAATGTTTTTAGATCCGGGTGATGCGTTTGGATATAACAACCCAAAATCAAAAAACTAAACCGTACCAAAGTTTCTCGATAAGGGGCAACAAACATTCTTTTTGTTCATTCATATACATAATGCAGTAGATAAAAATATACGTATATATACGTGAACGACAAATTTATCTGTTTAAATGAACACCACTAATATCTCCTGCAAACACACATCTATTTATTTTTCTCGTTCGTTAGTAGGCATGTCATTGTTACGAATTTCGATAGTTCGAAGATACGATTTTGATTGCAGCATACCATTTCTACGATTCGTAGCAAGATCCGAATACGCAAGTGTTGCAGAATAGGGGTGTAAGTTAAGTGACATTTGGTCAGTTTTAGCTAATTTTCTTTTAACTATTTAATGTTTACAATTTGTTCATAAAAGTTTGGAAAATTACATAACCAGCACCACACAAATCGATATTTTGGCTATTTTTCTTTTAACTATTTAATGTTTATAACTTTTTTATAAAAGTTTGGCAACGCAATTTTCTAGCGATTAAAAATTTGTACTTTAACCTCCTAAAATGTAATGGGCAATAAAACTGCATACCTAAAAATTAAGACAAACATTTTAATTAAAAGTTTAAAATTTTTAGGTGCAATTATTAAATGTTGTTGAATTTGATAATTTTTGCAAAAAGTTTGAAATGGGGTTTTATGTGGTGCTGTTTATGTTATGTGCTAGACTTTTATAAAAAAATTATAAACATTAAATAAACAAAAGAAAAATAACCAAAACCGGACAAAATGTCACTTAACTTGAACACATGTGTATGTATGTACCTAAGGCCCACCCATCAACATTACAATAAATATTAAATCAATCATGTTATTTATATCTATAATACTTACTAACGTATAAAATATATAATTATATTTATGGAAGAAGATTTTGCCTAATGAATTTTGAGATAAAATTACACATATATGAGGCCAATAAGAGTCACAAATTAGGAAAATAAGAGCCTGAAAAGAGTCCGAATATGAGGGAAATAAGAGCCATATATGAATCATATTGATACAAAAAAGAAGGTAGTTTCATTTAATGACATTATTTGTTGTTGTCAACCATTTGACTTTTAATAAAATTATGACATTTCATCAAATTCATGCTACCTGATCACTAGAAGAAATATTTTTTTTTTTTAGGCAGTAGATTTTATCAGTACATTCAAAGATGTGGAATATAATGAACTAGAAAATTATGCTACATGATTTCGAAAATGGGGTTGACGACTAGATTTCAGAAAGCATGAATGAAGTGTATACTTACATATCGTCGCCTAAAGTACAAAACCGCGTATCGTCGTTCTGCAAAACCGCGTAACTGTCATTTTTTGCCAAAAATTAGATTTGCTTACACAAGCTCTTGGCTCAAGCCTTGTCCATTCGTCCTGAAATGTGATTTCTTTGTAAAACAAGAGAACCATTTTGAAATAAGAGTGTTTTTACTCTCTACAAAATAATGTATGCCACCTCACATACGCAGTTGTGCATTTTGTTGATACACGGTTTTGTACTTTTAGCGACGATCTGTTAGTTTTTTATCGGAGGGCGGTCTGTTCAAGCCGATTTCAGGTGTTTTGCATAAATTAAAAATTTGTGAAATTTAGTGATGATGCGCTAATCACAAAGCTTAATTTTTTACAAAATCTTATGAGAAATTTAAAAGTAAATATGAACCGAAATATAAAAAGTTTACATTTGGGAAGAAAACTTTTTAGAATTCGATTTTTAAATCGCAAGATTGCATTCAAAATAAGAAAACAAAAAAATAACAGAATAATGCGCGCGTGGTTTTTATTACAAAATGAAAAGAACAATTACGATGAGTCTCCTTTTACATTTTAAATATTTTTAATAAAAAAAGGTGCCAACCACATAAGTAAAGAAAGTGCCAAGCACTGATAATGGTTTTTGATTTGAAATGTTATTACATTGGTATAAATATGGGAAATAAAATACTCCGATTTATTGTTTTAATATTATCAAAGTGGCAAGGCCGTTGAGTATACTCACAATTTATGAAACTTCAAAAAATTTTATTATCCGTCAAAAGTTGTTTGTTGAAACTACCTTCTTTTTTGTATCATGATTGAGGCCCACTTGATGTATGAATTTAAGCTCATATAAGGCGACCTTCTTAGGAAAGGGAAACACCCTCATATCGGAGTCTTAAATGAGCTTATTATGAGCGTAATACTCATTTATGACTCCAAATGTTTGCTGGGGATGAGCCGTAACCGCTCATTTATGCACAACACGTACATATGAAGTGACTTATGCCACTTTCAAAACCTATATCGTCGTTTAAAGTAAAAACCGCGTATCAACAAAATGCAAAACCGCGTATGTGAGGTTGCATAAATTATTTTCTAGAGAGTAAAAACTCATATTTCAAAATAGTTCTCTTTTTTATAAAGCAATCGCATTTCTGGCTAGTATATTTCAGGAATGACGATACGCGGTTTTGTACTTTAAACGACAATATGTATATATGCACAGCTGTTTTTGAATTTATTCACATTATCAAATTCTTTTTTTACGTATTATAATTTAAGGGATGTCAGTTCAAAAGTATCTGAAATTATAAACCATCTGGGAGAACTTTCGGCCGTAGCACAGAAGCTGTCTAAACCCGTCACATCATCTCAGAAGTTACGCATGTCGGAAAGTCAAACAGTTTATCTTATTGCAGATATAGGTGGATATGATGGGTGAGTAAGAATTCGAACCCAAAAACTCATTAGTGTCATATGCATACATAGAATCTAGATTGGGCGGAAAAATGGTAAAATCCAAAAAAAAAAATAATAATGTTTTAAATCAAATGAAAACTTGTTCAAATATTAAATTCAAATACGCCCATAATAAAATGAAGCGCTCGGTTTGCACTTCAAGGATGCTTTTTCGTAATTAAGATAAACCAAAATAAAAACAAATAAAATATAAGTTCGGGTGGAACCAAACATTAGATACCCGGCGCAATTATTAAATATAGTTTTTTTCACCTTTCCAAAACTACCGCTACATGGTACGCCGGGGTGGTTTTACCCCTATTTTAAACGTCTTCGATAAACTTATATAGTTATAGTTCCAAAATTCTTAAACAATGTTATAGAAATAATGGTTTGCCTTTATGTGGCAAGCACAATAATCATACCGAGCTTGGTACAAATTGAACGAACGGTAGATTTACTTATTTATCGAAGATTTCGTATTTCTATAAATAACCGTTACATAGGATGTGGGCGTGGTTTTTGTCCGATTTTAAAAATTTTAAGTTATTTGGTATGTGGTACCAAGACCAACAATCGTGCCAAGTTTGGGAGAAATTGGTCGAGCGGTTACCGAGATATACACATGTAATCATAAAAGGGCGTGGCTATGCCCATTTTCCAAAAATTTATAATATTCCTATTTTAGTAGCGTACGCACTCTGCATTAACCATTTGTATTAATTGAGTTACATAGACTGAATTATTTCTACCAAACGTACTTATACTGAACTCACACTAACTAGCTCACAACGTGAACACCACTATCAGCTACGGCCTTGTTTTCACTATGTCAAATTCAATGACATATGTCGTCAAATAAATGAAAACACATTGTCAAATGCGATTAGAAAACGGTATATCGATTGAGTTAGATCAGGATAGGTCTTCAGTCGTATACATGCGCTGCTTACCTGCTGCTTTTGGCTCATAATATCATAAGCGAAGGTGCGAATGAAAGAGATAAACTTGTGTCAAAATATGTCGACAAATTTTGATGTCAAAATATGACATAGTGAGAACCAGCCTTTACAGTGTAGTTGGCGACGCGTACGCTACTAGCCCACTTGCACGATCGCCGGCTGTCAAAAATACATACATACACAGCTACATATCTTGTTGAAGGATTATACCAAAAATTGTACTTTTAGAAGTTGTATTTTTATATACCTTACGCATATTCGTGCGGCCCGGAAATTTGCAACTCGAAGTAAAATTCGTTATCGCGAATTGAATTAAAACCAAATTAATCTTTTTAACTGCAAGCAGTTCGGTGTTTTAATTTCATTAAACTAACCCCAACTTTAGGAAACTTGCGTTATGACGGTCGCGCAGTTTATAGTGCCATATTAGCGACTACGCCGCTGCCGTTTTGTGTGTCCCCGTGCTCCATCCACAGCGTTCTTAGTGTTAAAATGCAATGTAGTGCCGTAAAGCCGCCAAATACAAGCCGACGTCGTTCAGCAATCTCCAGATTGCCTTCCGTGCCGCCCAGCAAAACCAACCCACCGCTCCCGGCTGACCACACATCCTAGCCAGCAAGCCCAGAGATTCGCCGCTGCGTCGCCCGCAACTAACGCAGCCCCCGCACCATGCGATTTAGTCCTTCGTAGCCACCAGAGAACCACACCAGTGGAGCAAAAAACCTTAAGTACCCAAAGCCCAAATAGAGCCGTAAGTAAGAAGCTAACTTCTTTTAACCCCACTTACGTCAAAAAAGGAAAAAAATACATATGTATATTACATATAAAAGACTAGCCGGCCTCGTATGCGCGAGGTGTGATTGACAACTATACAGGTTGCAACGCTATTAAACAAAAATAATATATAATTGCGCATCTGCAGGCCAAGTCCTTTTATTTGATATCTCATTTCTTGTAATCTAACGAACAGCCCACATATTTTAATTTTTCGCACAGGCTGCAACCCGCTTCCAAAAATAAAACCTTACCGCAAATCTGAAGGCCAAGACTTTTCATTTGACACCTCATTTTTTAAATTGAATGAACTGTGCAAATCTAAAGTTATTAACAAAAACAGGGTTCGCGTTTTATACATACATAATTTTTAAATATGTAGGTGGCAACCCCACTTAAACAAAAAATAAAAACTTATTTCACATGCAGAGACCATATCCTTTTACTTGGTACCTCAGTTTTTAGTCCAACATACGGTGAAGATCTTATAATTTTTAAAAAGTGGCAACCCCACTCAAAAAGTAATACATTATTGAACATCTAAACGTCGAGCCCTTTTATTTGACACCTCATTTCTTGTAATCCAACGAACAGTGCCGATCTTATATTTTAGACAGGTGGCAACCCTATAGGAATTTAAAGTACTAAATATAATATTCCTATCGATACAGATTATACTTAAAAAATCTCGTCTAAATCCCTGTAGTAGTTTTTGAGATTTGCGTGTTCAAAAAATCTCGAATTTCTTTTAAACTATGTATAGAAGATAGTAATTTTTAAATGGGTGGTAATCCTACTCAAAAAAATTTAAATTTTTGTACATGTGAAGACTATGCCCTTTCATTTGATATCCCATTTTGTAATCCAGCGAACGATGAAAATCTGTTTACTTTTTATTAGGTGGCAACCCTACTCAGAAAAATAATCCATTATTGCACATCTAGAAGCCAAGTCTACGTTTGACTGCGACGGTTGCAGAACTGATGCCTATGCTTATTATGATTGTATATAGTAATTTTATCAACAGGTGGCAACCCTATTCAAAAGAATAAAACATTTTTGCTTTTCTAGAGGCCCATCCCTTTCATTTGACACCTCAACTTTTGTAATCCAGCGAACGATGAAAATCTGTTTACTTTTTATTAGGTGGCAACCCTACTCAGAAAAATAATCCATTATTGCACATCTAGAAGCCAAGTCTACGTTTGACTGCGACGGTTGCAGAACTGATGCCTATGCTTATTATGATTGTATATAGTAATTTTATCAACAGGTGGCAACCCTATTCAAAAGAATAAAACATTTTTGCTTTTCTAGAGGCCCATCCCTTTCATTTGACACCTCAACTTTTGTAATCCAGCGAACGGTGCGGATCTTTTTTTTTTTAGACAGGTGGCAACCCTATTAATTCTAATTGAAAAAGATCACTGTCGTTGCAATATAAAGTATATTGGAGAAAATCTCGTCAAAATCCGTTCGGTAGTTTTCGAGATTACCGCGTACAAAGGATCTCGACTTTCCTTTATACTATGTATGTATTTATAGAAGAAGCAGTATTTGCGTAGATCTCCTAAGCGAAAATATATCTATACATAGTACATATATATAAATATTCATATATTCCCGCGCATGGGCGTAGCCAGAACGAAATTTAGGGGGGCCCTATACAATTTTTATTTTTTTTTTCAAAACCAATAATTATTACTAAAAAATTATTACCTATTATTACCTTAAAATTATTGTAACCAATAGTGGTATGTTGTACAAAAACACATAAATGAAGTTCGCAAAAGTTGATATAAAACTATTCGTCGGTTTAAATAATTAACTTTTTACTGCACATGTTTTTTTTACGAGGAAGAAGCATCGAAAGCCTAACCTAGTCAGTGTGAGACTTTAACCCAAACTAAACCTCCTACCGTCATATACCGTTCCCCTCCCGGTACCATCGTCAAGGATTTCGTCGGGATAATAAAAATGTGTGACTGCTAAAGTTATAGATCTAATGATGCACAAAAAATATACATACTGAGAATTTTGAATACCCCCTCACAATCTGTACCTAAGGTATAAAAACGCGTTATTCATAGTTTGAGCCTTATAATTGTTCTTAAATTAATTTCTGTTTATCCGATGAAAAATATATACCGTGCGTACACGGTAACCGCAACCCTCAACTTCAGAACAATTTTACCTCAATACCCACAACTTTCTTTGTTAATGCATGCCACGCACACCAAATTTGAATTTTTTGCATTTCTTTGATTTACCAGTATTCTTTTTACTTACAGTATTCACTTCTTTACTATTACACTGTGGAACGAATTCAGGTTAGCAAAAGTTGGGTCGATTCTGAGAGTGAGGGATGAAAATAGAGGCTAAATTAGAAGACCCGTATCGCGGCGTTTGTTTATGTTAGTTCGAATTTTTTTTTAATCGACCTTCGAACTTTGCAGTCAACTGCCGATTTTCAGCATATTGTTTATATGGTTTTTTGGCTATAACTCGTCGACTAATTGATATTTTTTCAATCTGTTAAAGCCAAATTATTGCTAGAGACCTGTGCAACAATTAAAATTAAAAAAAAAAATTATTTAATTTAAATTAATTTTTTATTTAAACATTTGGTCCAACGTTTTTACCAACAATTCGTGTTCACGTTTGGTTTTGTGGTCGTCTGAAGGCATATCCTCCATTGCCATCTTAAATAACCTAACGAAAGCGTTATGCCCGTGAAGAAGTTCTTGTGGCAACAATTATCTGGTCCGATGGTGAATCATCCTTGAATCTGTATACCACAGTTTGCGGCACTTAAAACATGTGGAGTATCATTAGTCCACAGATATCCAATATACAAAGCCTTATTTCAGACAAAATACCGTAAGAAGTCTTACTATTGTATTTGTAGGCATATATCAAGAATTATCTTTATTCTGTTTAGTCGCCGTAAAACAAGGACCGCAATCGTTCTGGTGATTGATTTAACGGTGGTAATTTAACTTTGATCCTTGATGTCTCCGATTGACTTCACTTGACGATTTTTACCAATAATTCGACTCCAGCGCCACCTTGCAGCTCTTTTGGTCTAATAGTAGATATTGCCCCTACCATTACCAATATATATCTCGAATATGAGCCAAATCGGATAATAAATACGATTTTTAGTAATAACTCGACTCCAGCGCCACCTGGCGTTTCAAGTTGTGAGCCTATGAAGATGAGTTTTAAAATAGTGGCTCCAAA